CAAAAGGCCTGAATTGGATCTGACTGTGAGGGACAGCGAAGGCCGCCGAAGATTTCACGGGGCGTTCACCGGAGGCTTCAGTGCCGGACATTACATGACTGTCGGCTCCGAAGAGGGCTTCACTCCTTCCCAATACAAGTCCAATAGAGCCGAACGATGGGATCAATCGCTGCTCAAAGACAAACCCGAGAACTATATGGACTCCGAGGACTTGGATGTGTTTGGCATCGCTCCCAAACGGATCACCGCAAGGGATCAGTTCGCACAACAAGAGTCCTTCGCAGGTCTGTCATCGCTAACCAATTGATATCGTTTTTAATGCATTTTTGTGAATAGGTTTTCGTTCAACCGATACTCTGATCGATGTCTTGAAGTCTGTTATCAAACCGTCCGTCGAGTCAATTGGTCTTCAATTGTATAAACGAATGAAACGGAACGCAAAGATTGAGTTAAGAGATGGCAATCGAAAGACATACGGATGCGAACAGCCGTCCAATACATCGGCAAACAATGACATCACTTATAAACCAAAGTCTGATTTCCATGGAATCGGCTTTAAGTCGATGTTAGAAGAAAGTGACGGAAATCACGCCAAAGACATGACCGGAGTTTCGGTTACTTTCAAAAGCGGTCAGAAACTGAAGATTTCTGGCGAAGCGTTCGGTTATGGAGTTCTCGATGACGACGACGACATCCAAGAAGACGCTGTTGTTTACCATAAGGAAGACATCTCTCAATACGACTACGAAATCGGTGCCGTTAGACACGAGCCTAAGATGAAGAACAAAGGCAAACATAAATCGCTTGATGTCCTCAAGAGTGATGTCATCGACGGTTTTGTCAAGTGTTCGATAAAAATTAATTTAATTGAAATAATGAGCAAAAAATATCCGATCCCTTCGTTGCCCACACATTGGAAGCACACTTCCGGTCACCAAAAGGCAAAAAAGTCTCGTTGGGATCAATCGAGTGATAAACAAAAGAGTGTTAACACTAGTTCTGTGAGCGATGAACAAACAGTGACCCCAACGCCCGCACGAACACCAGTTCTTAACGCAAACATAAGAGCATTACTATTAGGCGAAGAAGTGATTCACAGACAGGGAGTGAAAAGAATGGATCCAATGCCCGAAGAAAGCGATTCAATCAATTCAAGACAAGTAGATTCGGTTCAAAACACAGCGCCGTTGACGGCCATTAAAAGAGAGCCAATAGTATTCCAACCGTTGACTGGCTTTTGGGCGAATAAATTCACCAGAAGTAACGATACCGTCGAAGAGACACTATCGGGAGGTTTGACTGATTTCAATGAGACTAAACGCCAGAAGACTGTCGACAATGAGACAAATGAGAAAAGCAGCGCAACAGTGAGGACAACGTTTGAATGGCATCCACACAACCTATTGTGCAAACGCTTTAATATTCCCAATCCTTTCCCGCAATATCCAGATGTTGTCGGCGTTATAACTGTCGGCAAATCCGATGTGAGGAATAGAACGGCCAAAATAAATGACCGAAAGACTAAAACTAATATATTTGACTGTTTAATGGACGACACAATTGTGTCCAAACAATCCGATAATTTAGACGAAGAAAACACTTCGGAGTCGAAAAATGTCAAAAATAGTATTAATACTAATGAAAACAATGATAAAGAGGCGGAAACTGAAGAGAAGGTGAGACCACCGATGGATTTATTCAAAGCTATATTTGCTTCGGACGAAGAGAGTGACGACGAAGACATTGCAGACACTAATGAGTCGAATGTTACAAATGAACAAAATGTG